CATTTGGAGGAGGGATACGAAGACAGCATTGTTGAGACAGGGAGGTAGTGTTGTTATATTTTGATCAACTCAACCAGGGAGAAATGTTCACATATTGAAATGATCACCTTGAAGCTAAATAATGTGATTGAATGTATTAAAAAATGTAAATTAAAAAAAAGACAACAGACTGGTGGTTATAAGAAACAGAAATTTATTTCTCAGAATTCTAGGGGCTTAGAAATTCAAGATCAAGAGACCAGCAGATGGTGTAGCGGTTATATCACTGGACTCCCAACTAGTAGACAACGGTTCAAGACCCAGCATCTTAAACTCATGCCTGGTGTGTGTGCTTGACTGCTTAAAATCCCAAGAGGAGAATGGAGGAGAAAGGATTGCAGTGTGGCTATCTCCCCATGGGGTGATTTCTTGCTTTCTGTCTCTCTGCACATGTACCCTACAGCAAAAATCTCTTTTAAAATGTTCATAAAAATAAAGAAACTAGCTGCATAGAAGAATCACTATTTTTCCAGTTGTGAGAACTAACATTTTTCTCATGCAATTTAAAAGTGTATGAAAAAAAGACTTCCCAAAAATCTTTGCTGGAAATGCATGATCATATAATAATGATCTGCATAAACAGTAATAGTTTATTATTAGTTTATAGATCCTTGTACAGTTCAGCACAATGCTGATTTCTAACGATGGAGCAAAGACCAAAGATAATCGATACAGTTTTGTGGTTATTGAATGAAAATTTAAATAGAAAAAGAAAATACATGCACAGAAACATACGTACACACACATATGTATATCATTTTTTCTTGATATTTATATCATATCTTATACTAACCAATAGACCAATAGTGGAAAACTAGTCTCAAGTCCACCTAATACAGTATATTACAAAATAACAAGTAGAGATCTCAAATTGCAGTAAGAATGCATCCAAACTCCCTGACATGGTTATGCATATCCTTTAAAATAAAAATCAGTTTGAGTCATTAGGTTGCATTGCTAATTTAGCCAGAATATTAATTTCCATCCTTGTAGTGACTATATATGCTCCATATTTATTTATCATAAGCAAACACTCTAGATTTAAACCAACTTGTTTGTTCATTAAATGTCTGTATTTTCAAAGCTGAGATGAGAGGTTATATATCTCTCAGTAGAAACACATCACTGCCAGAAATAATGTAAGAATGACATGTAAGAATGATTATATTCATAATAAAAATGACATAAGTGTGATTGTATTGTCAATAATAATCATAGAGAAATCATTAATTCATTTACTATCTATGCCAAATGGTATATATTACTCTATTTACACACACACATGTTTAGGAAGAGAAAGTACTCCCCCCTCTCTTTTTTAAAGAGCCTCAGAGCCTCGATTAGTAATTAGCAAACAATAATAATAATACATTATACATTGGAGGCATTAGCTAGAGCACTGATAGAATGTTACCAAAATAAATCACTTCTTGTAAATCTCTGACTGCATTGTTTATTTTTATCATAAATTCATTTATGATGTCTATTTCAGTGTGGGATGCAACAATATTTGAATTTATAATCCTCAAATTGTGACTGCTATTGCAAATTAAGTGTAAAATTAATGATAAGTGACCTCTGCAATTTGTTAAGGGAGATGCAAGAATGTTCGGATCTTATATCTTTTTTCAGATCAAGATATCTGAATCTTTTTCATTATTGATTGACTGGTTATTTTTAAGACTTGTAAGTCATCCACAATCTATTGAATGACTCATAAATGAACTCTATTGAAATGCAATGTTCCACTGAAGCAAAATTGCTTCTACATTTATTAAATAATTTACCTTTATTCGTAACACATTTTGCCAGCTCACAATTAGTGGTATTTTTTTTTTTTTTTTGAGAGATTTTCACTGTAGGGCACATGTGCTCGCCAGACAGACAGAGAGAGACATAGAGACAGAAAGCGAGAAATCACCCCCCAGGGGGGATGGTCACGCCGCAATCCCTTCTCCTCCATTCTCCTCTCGGGATCTTGGGCACGCACGCACACGCGCCCGGCGTGAGTTTTAAGCCACCGGGTCCGGGACACGAACTGCGGTCGACTACGTGGGAGGCCAGTGACATAGCCATTACGCTAACTGCTGGTTCCCTGGTATGTTTTTGTTTATTATCTTTTGTATCCCTGAACAAATAAAAGTGTAAGAATTTAGTATATTTTGTACCTTATTGTATGTCTAACTCCTAGAGAGGTATCTTTTACATAGTAGCACTCAGTATATATTTACTATTAAATTAATGCCAATCAGAAAAAAATATACCCTACAGCAATATCAGGATAAATAGATATACCTATAAGGGATATCAGAAATAGGAATACCCTACAGGCATATCAGGATAAACAGATATTCCTATAATGGATAGTTCAAAGCTAGTTTTAGTGTTGTAAGACTCTACCAACTCTTTTCCTTGAGCGTTGGTTGGTAAATGTGATAATAAACATTTGTAGCACAAGCGAATTTGGCCCAGCTATTATTGTGCTCCTGGTATAACTATTGGCAGGCTGAGACCATGCAAGAGGTCCATGTCCAGTTCCTAACCCATCCTAAAAAGCTTGGAGGTAGCACAAGCTTTTACTCCTAGCTACTGGGGAACTGAGCCAGGAGGACAGCTAACTGTGGCCAGCATGGGCTCTGCAGCAAGGCCTTGTCAGAAGGAGACATAACCCTATAGTCCAGCTATTGGGGAGGATGATTCAGGAGGATCACAGCACAGCTAGACCTTGTCACACACACAGATACACACAGCAGAAAGACTCTGACATGTGTTCTATTTGTGAGATATATACAGATACATGAATTCATATGTATATGGATTTTATCTCAGTTGAATAATTGAAAATACTCACAGATCAGCATTGGCTTTCAAATCACCATCTTTTACAATTAATCATTAGGTGCTTTTGTTGCTAGAATACCATCTCACCTTCAGGAGATTCCTCCTGGTTTTCTCCTTCTGGGATAGAAAGAAAGCTAGAAGACAGAAGCAGGAAAGGGGACCGGAACATCTGCTTCTGTGGTTAGATAGAAAAACTGACCAGGGCAGACAATTCCCTGGTCAAGGTAATGTAGGTGAGAGATTTTCCATGGGGGATATCTAGTGGATAACCAATGAGATAACTCAGTGATATATAACCAATGGGATGATCAACCAGCACAACCCCAGCTAGGGAATTTAAACACCGTGGAAAGCAATTTCCAGGACCCAAAAGCCACTCTCCCTTTGCTTGGCTGCTCTTTCCTCTCAGAAGTCTACTTTCCCTTTAACTTAATAAACTATCCTTTACTTTACTACTGGAGTGTTTCATCCAATTCTTTGTCCAAAACACCAAGAACCTGGATATCACCAAAGCCATCCCATAACACTTCCTTCTATCCATCAAGTGTGAATATATCCACTAATTCGGTATGCCATCTTCTTTCACCCTTTTCATAACTCTAAACAACACCTCTGACTGACTCCCAATTTACATGTATAATTATAAATTCTCTCAAGCAAAACTCTCCATTTTTATTTTCCTGTTGTGTACAGACACATGAATATGCACCAATTTTTCAAACTCTCCCTGCCTAGAACTAATGCAATGATTCTTACTCTTTAAATACTTACTTTCTCTTATGTGAAATGTTCTTTTATTTCTCCATTCTCCCGATCAAAACCTAGAACATTCTTTCCATCTGAGGAGTTACAGTTGTGTAGGTTCTCAAAACTTCTCAACTAGGTCTTTGTGTTCCCTTCTTCTATGCCTCATTTGGCCTTTCTTACAATCATCTTGAATTAGAAGCTCTTTTCTCAAATTTTGACCTTTCCATAATCTGCCAACTGCCATCCCCATTCTAAATCTCACTATCTTTGAAATTAAAAGATCAGTTTTGATTTCACATATTATGATCATTCGCATACCACTTTTACCCTCAGCCTGGAAGATTCCCCAAATCTGCCACAAACTATCCTTTCCAGTCTTATACTTCATTGCTCTCATATAATCCATAAATGGATGTTCAAACATGCCATGTCTTTCCTCATCTCTTCATTTTTATTTATGACATATTTTTCTCAGAATGCCTAATGATATCTTAGCCACTCTTTGACTCCATTCTAATGTCATTCTTTCATTGAAGATTTCTTTTATTTTGGAAAAATTATCTTCATTTTATTTTATTTTTATTATAATTTATACATTTAATCACTATACATCATTTAGATTGTAAAGAGACTTTACCCAGCATGATATACATTTCAGTCCAGTTGAGAATACTATACACATCCTCATCAACAGATAATGATTCCTTATATGATATTTCAAGTCCAAATAATCATAATATTCTCTAAACGTATCCTGAAACATTTTTGTAGCATATTTTACAAGTGTTTTTGAGTAGTTATTGTTTGTATATGTCTTGCCTCTTCTGCTGAAATATCAGCTATCCAAGAGCAATAGAGTTCATTATATATTATACATGTCCCAAATATATTTCAACCTGTTTTTGTAAAAAATATGAATTACTAGTATAAATATTACGTTTCTCAAAACATAGATCATAATGGAAAACAAAAATGCAAGGTGATCTGTGAAGACAAAAATAAGGAGATAAGAAAAGTCAGATATCATAGACTATACGAGTCTGAATAAGAAAAAACTTGACCTAGATGATCTCTGAGGTTGTTCCCTGTGGAGGGCACTGCATATGGAAGCCATCTTGAGCTATCCACCATCTTGGAAACCGTTAGGCTTCACTTCCTCACTGAGCAAACGGGTTCTCAGAAATCATGTGACCAACCGTTCTCCCCCCTCCCAAGTGGTTGGGTTTCTAGGCAACGGGAGAGATCCACCCACATCAATGATTGGTTCATGCTGTTCTATCTCATTTGCATTTGGGGCAACCAATTGGTGCCCACCCGCTGTATATAACTAGCCATTTCTCCTCAATAAATGGAAGAGGAAGACATAAGAAGAAAAAGACTTGATCAGCACCTCGTATTGTGTGTGCGTGTGTTTGTCCCATCTCTCACTCACTCCCCCAGGGAACCTGTTCGACTGTCCCGTGGGTTGGGGGCAGTTCCCATTACTAACATTCTACAATTTCAGGATTCACTAGAGATTATCACATCTTAATGCATCCAGTAACACATGTCTCCAGCTCCTGGCTGCACTGTCTACTTTTTTCAGTACTCTCCTATAGACCAAGTCAAATTGATAAAGTGGTTTAATTCAGCATGCAAATTAGCATACCTCAGAGCCTAGAAGAAATCATGCTGTGGGCAGGTAAAGAAAATTGGAAAGATGATCCACAACTCTACAATATATTGGTTTGTGGTAAAGAAGTTTTTCATATATGAAATGTAAAATCTCAATTAAAATAGAGAAAAAGAGGCAGTTTACAAAGTTATTTAAATATGTATGTACATATCATTTAAATGATCACATGCATATTACCTCATTGTGATTTTTATTATTGTTTACTATATGTTTTATAAGTAACTAAGTATGACAATTTTGTTCTCAGTTTTCACATGCACATTTACAAACAATTGACATGTGTCATTTTATACGAAAACTTCGTTTCATTATATTCAAGGGAAATGCTGAGTTGGTGGGGGTGGTGAGTTGTTTTTCTATTCCATAAGATGCCAATTAATCATCATTCAAAGCATAACAGAATTGCTTAGTAATTAGGCTGGAACAAATCCCCAAACTGCCTTGGGTTTCTTAGGAAGGCATTTCAAATCATAAAATGCTGGATACATTAAAATAACACGAAAACAAAGCTCAATGAGTTTTACCTTCTTATTCCAGCAGCTCTTACCTTTATTTTTCTGTATTTCCCTGTGGAGGCACATATCTGAAATGGTTTTTTTAACTTCTGGTTTGTGTTTTTCATGTTAAAAAAAGAATACTTGTCATCATTCTTTCAGTTGCTTAAGCCAGGTGTCTGGACTTATCCTTCCTTGACTTTTACTTCTTCCTTAATTAATTCTTGAATATACTACTATGAGGGAACTTAAAAGTTTGTGGAAAAGTGGATTTAAGTATGAGTTTATTTTTGTACCAAAAATTTTTGAAATTCATACATTGTTTTTTCATGACAAACATCTTCCATAAACTCTTTAAAGGCTCCTTGTCTATTTTGCCAATTATATTTTATAAACATTACCTCCAATATATCTATATATTTTTCTTCTGCCTTTATTCTAGTTCAAGTGGATATCATCTCTTGCCTACAGCAGTATACACCAATTCTTTATTTATCATGAGGGTATATCAGTAAAAATTATAAACAACTTCAAAATGTGGATATTGGCTTTATTTCTAAATTGTGCAGGTAATATTGTACTATTTTATTTTTGACAACTAGAAAACAGTAAAAGAGAAAGCATAAAATATGACTTAAAAATAAATAGATCAAATACTACCTTTCTTTTTTTAACATAACACTATGCATTGCACATTATGAAAAATGAAAAATAAGGTTAAAATTCAACTCATTCTTAAGACTAGTTATGTGGGTGTGAGATTTCTGATTTTCTATTGAGAAATTTTCTTTCATTTCCCCTAATTTTCCAATTTCACAAATCTGTAATTCTCTGTTTTTTTATTTTATTTATTATCATAATATTGTTTATATTATGTTGAATTACATTTATCTTTACAGTGTATTACATTTCTTTTTCCAGAAGGAATACCAAGCATATCAGTCAAGACAAAGACATTACTACCCACATCATCATCCCCACAGGTATTTGGGTCTTGTTTATCGCCTTACTGGGGCATGTGGTACACTTGGGAGACCTCCAGCCTAGATTCTTGCAACAGTCAGGTGCCTGGTTAAGTAGCTTTGAGTCCTATCTTTCATAATGCAATGATATTTCTAGAAGGTATGTTCACATCCTTCCTAATTAAAACATTCTATGCCGTTATTTTTCCCTGAGGATGAGGTACACACTCCTTAAGATGAATTCCATAGCTCCTTTGTGAGCTGGCTATTTACTTCTTATTTTGCAGTTTAATTTCTTTCGGTTCCTGTCCTGTTCTTCCCCCCCACGTCCCCACCATATGCACCTTGACCATGATGAACTATTTTCAGATCATGATTTTCCTCCTCATTAAGACAGTCTACACATTCAATTTAGTTTAATATGTTTTCTCCTTTCTCCCAATTCTTTATTTGGTTAAATCTACTTCTGATAAAATCCACTTCTTAGATTTCATTTCAACTGGATTATATACCCCTCCTATTAACTACCTCAGTGAATAAACCCATTTTTATTTTAATCTATGACACTAAATTTTAATTGTCAGGTTGTCAGATTAACTCAGTGACTACTATTCTTTGGGATAACAAAAATACATACATGCATACATACATAATTAAAAAGATTTCTTAACTGTAACTTTTAACCTCATCCCTAGATATTTTGATTCTCTAAGTCTAGGATGGGTACAGGGATGTGCATTTTAAAAGCACCAGGGTGATTCCTATACAAGTGCTTGCACTAGAAGAGATGCTTACTTATGGCTACATCCTCAGCAATTTTAAAAGGCTTAGTACTTAAGAAGTGAATACAGATTCGTCTAGTAAATAAATGAGAGGAATGTGGTTGATAAAAATAACTGATTTCTAGGCAAAGGAATCAGTAAAAGCAAAAAAATGGATGAAAAGACTCTCAAGGTTGCTGAAAAACCTTCAAAAACAATTTCCATCTCTCCTCTTCCCAAAATGCCCAAGTCTTCAGTAACAAAGCAGCACATTTATAAAAGAAAAAAATAGACTAACCAGAAAATATTCTACTTGGTGCTGGTCGTTGCTGTAATAGTTAAAGATCTCACAATGACAACTTTGTGGTTTGAATTCCTGACTCGGCCACTTTAAAACACATCTGGCACATGTGCTTGTATATCCCAAATCCCGAGAGGCAAATGGAGGGGAGGGGATTGCAGTTTAGGATAAAATAATGATTTTAAAATAAATAAATCAAATACTATCTTTCACATTTTCTCTCTCTCTCTGTTTCAAACAGAATTAAATATGATATATTTTTATTATTTTATTTAATCATCTGAATCATATGAGGATATCTCAGCTTCCCTATGTAACTAAAGAAATGCAGGATTATGAATTCACATAACTTGAATAAAGGAAACGTGAAATGATAAACAGCCAAGATTTGAAGCCCTAGTTCCACACTAAAAATATTCTATAGTTTTATTTAGTTATTAGTTGTTTATTATACTAAAAATTTCACAGCAGAGGTTATAAGTCACTATACTAAGCACTATAAAAAATAGTGTTGCACATTAAAACTGCCTTTGGGAGTTTAATGTGTATTAATTTTTAAGTTTTATTTATTTTTAAGACATATGAGAAAGAGAGATGCATAAATTTTCATTACATCTATTTTATTTTCTTTTTCAAGAAAGAGATTTTTGCTAGAGAGACTGACAGAGACAAAGAGACAGACAAAAAGTGAGAAATCACCTCCCCATGGAGGATGGATGCAGCAGTTTCTTCTCCTCCATTCTCCTCTGGGGATTTTGGGCATGCATGCACATACACCCGGTGTGACTTTCAAGCCTTTAGGTCCAGGGCTGAAACAATGATTGGCCAAGTGGGAGCCCAGAGACATAACCATTTTGCCATCTGCTGGTCCCTCATTACGGTCTTTATGCCCTATTTCATCCCAGCCTCACCTATCCCAGGTGATGAGTTTTATTTTAATGCCAGTGTCTAGATCCCTATCATCAGAGATTTTACTCAATGTTATGAGAACTATTCAGAGGAATTTACTAAAATAATTTTTTATAAGTGGTTTCTTGTTTTTCATTTATATTAGTCATTTTACATCTTTACAGCATATAAAATAGCCTTTCTAAGCACACATGTGTGCACGTCAGTCAAGTCAAAGATATTACCATATATTATTTTTGTTTGTTTGTTTTTGGAGAGGTGTGCTCACCAGAAAGACAGAGACAGAGAGACAGAAAGTGAGAAATTACCCTCCAGGGGGATGACTACGTCACAATCCCTTCTCTTCCATTCCCCTCTCGGGATCTTGGGCACTCACACAAACACACACGCCCGGCATGAATTTAAGCCACCGGGTCCAGGACTCGAACCGTGGTAAACTACATGAAGGTCCAGTAACATAGCCATAGCCATCATGCCAACTGCTTGACCAACCATTATTTTCAACAGATTACATTCTTGTGTCTATTAAGTGTTTTACTTTTTTCTTTCTTTTAGCCGCTCGCTTCCATCTCCTAGTATCCACCCCTTGCTGTACAGTCTCCAGTACACTGGAGATAACTTCTACTCTACACTGTGCTGCTTCCAAATATGATTCGTGTGGAGATATTGTTCATTTTTGGCAATACTTATGGTTCAAATGTAGTAAACAGATAGCCTAGGTCCTCTGTAGTTATATTATTTAAAGTCCTATTGAATTGAATAAAAAAAATTATATGCACTGTTAGTAAAATCACAGCTTAAACAATTAAAAATAAAATTTTAAATTAAAATTATGTGGATAATAAAGTTAAATTTGAGCATGCATTAAAAACTAAAAGTATGAGAAGCAATCCACAGAAAACTTGAGGACTAGTTAAAAGTGAGGTAGCAAAAGCAAAGAGTTATGGAAAATTGAGAAAAAATTATTTGCATATTTTTTACTAAAGACAGGATTTCAGAAGAAAAATCACCCTGCTTCAACATTGTGGTAGGTAAATTCCTGTATATTCTTAACATATTCAATTTGTTTTGAAATAGTGATACAGCCTGCAAGTGTATAGCACAGATTTAAAACTCATGACTCAAATGAAAAGAAATGATTATGCATTTTACTTGACACACTTTTCAAAGACTTCAAAGGGAAACTCCATAGGGAGCAGTTACTGAATTCCAAAACAATCTGATGTCACCATCTTCAAATAATGACACTTAACTAGGAAGTACAATAATAGCCAGCTATTTCCAAACCATTAATTTCAGGAAAATTTAATTTTACATAAATGCTTTATCAAGATAGGATAATGAAAATGAACATTAGTTTCTATAATAACCCAGAGCCACTTCACAAGCATGTGTTATTTCAGTCCTGTTATTAAAGTCATTCTCAGTCTTATTAATAAACACTGACTTGCAATTTTATGTACCACCTATAATGCATCTTTTTGAAAATAAGCAACTACCAGTTGTCTGTCTGGTTATGATATGAGTTTTGAAGTCTCTTCCCAATACTGTTGACTGCCAGGTAACACGACAATATAAATACAGGGCTCTAACAATGACCCTTTCCATTTTTAATTAAAATATCCAATCAAATGGAAAAATTGTGCATTTTTTCTAAATATATGGGAAGGAAATTCAAAAGAGGTTGAGCGGGAAAAACATGGTTGGCAGTCATTAGCATATTAATGGAATTGAAAACAAGTACAAGGATGAAATGAAGAGATATGAATTGATTCAGAGATGTCAGGTCAGATAAGTGTCCACTAGATTTGCAAACAGCATTATGAGGGGTGACACGCAAACACAATTTACTAAAGTGGTATGGGCAAAAGAAATAGGAATTTAGTATGGAGAAACATAGCTATAAAGGAAAAGGATGCAAATTAGTGGAAAAGATTTATTTTCAACTTGCTTGTATCTGAGGACAAGAAAAAAAATAACTTGAACATCTTTAAATGCTAAAGTAGAGCTCAAGAGAAAGAAAAAGAAATATTTGATAAAGATCCCCGAGGAAATATTAAGAGAAAGTAAGAATTCACAGCATGGAGCAAGAAATTATCATTAAATAGGAGGAAAGACAAAAACAACCATTTCTATGCTGAGTCTAGGTAATATAAACTCAAAATACTTAAATTAAAAAATTTTGGAAGTAACGTAAAAATTGATAGACCTTAGAGTAGTAGAAGATTGTGAAATATTTGTATCAGTCTGGAAGCAACCTAAGAGATGAAATAAACTAAGCACAGGGAGAATCTGAAAAATAATATTAATAAGTGTTGCCTAAGGATAGTTTATTTAATTCTCTTCTATTACTCTTCTCCCATTAATATCATCACAAAGAATTAGAGCATTAATGCTTGGTTAATTTGGAAATATGTTTGCTCTAAGTTTTTTTAGGAAGGACAGAAGGATAAAACAGACCTTTTTGTAGTTTCTCAGTGGATGATCTCGTCTGTTCTCATGGCCTTAAGCACAATAGTTATATGACTACAGTTGACAATTTTATCTTCAACTACAACCTCTTTTCTGAGCTTTAGACTATATACAATTAGCTTCTTGACACTTGCACTTATATATCTCGTTTTAACATAGCTTCTGTAGAATGTACATGTATCAAACCTTATATTTCTCCCCATTTTGACTGCCACATTCCTAAATCAAGCCAGTGTTATCTCTCAGATGGATTACTATAATTTCCTCCTTGTTCATTTTGCCACTCTCCACATAGCAAGCAGTTTAAAGGATCTTTTGATAATGTAAATCTCTTCATGCCCCACTTAAATTCCATCAAGCCAATACATTTCTATTTCATTTATAATAAATTCAAAATGATTTATTTTTATATTATTTATTTCAATTTTATACATTCAATCACATGTTACTTAGCTTACACAGTGAATATTCCAACACATATACATTTCTCACCAGTCCAGTGGAGAATACTATAAAGTTATCTTCAACAGATAAGAACCCATTAATTTGTCCTATAAATGCCTCTCCTCTCTACTTTTCTCCTTAATGTCCTTCTTCAGACTCTACTCCTTCACCCACCATCTTCCCACACCGTATCTGGTATTTATAACCATTTACTATGTTTCTATATCCTCTAGTCATTCAATTTCAGCCATAGAGTGGGGACATTTGGTATATATTCAGTGGAGACATACAATGTCTCTTCTTCATAGCCTGACTTGCTTCACTCAGCAGTAAATCTTCCATATTCATCCACTCTGTCAAAAGCCAGGGTCTTCTTTTCTTTATAGCTGAGTAGTATTCCATACAGTATATATGCCACACTTTTTTAATCCATTCATTTGGATTGGTTCCATGTCTTAACAATTGTGAATAATGCTGCAATAAATATCGATGTGCAAGCACTTTTCAGACTAATGTTTTTTCTGTTCTTTGGATTGATACCAAGGAATGGGATTGCTGGATCATATGGTAGTTCTATTTGTAGATCTTTGAGGAATCTCCATGTTGTTCTCCAAAAATCTCTTCATGCCCCACTTAAATTCCATCAAGCCAATACATTTCTATGTCGTTTATAATAAAGTCTAAATGATTTAACACAGTCTATAGGTCCCGTATGTGGCTCTAAAGTTATATCAACTACTCCTTCCTTTCACACAAACCTACAGGCCCTGCAAGGTTGAGAGTCATGGTTTTTTTTTTTTAATTATTTATTTTATTTTACTTATCAACATCGTTATTATTATTTTTAAATTTTTCTACAGAGCACATGCACTCAGCAGAGATGAGAGAGAGAGAGAAAGTGAGAAAACAAGCTGCCAGGTCCAGGATTTGAATGATGGTTGGCCATGTAGGAGTCTAGTGTTTTAACCACCATGTTACCTGCTATTCACTAATATGTGCAAACAGTTCCTAGAAGCGTGTCTGGCCCAAAGTAAGAATAGTAGATATTGAATGATTAAATGATGATGGCTTGCTCTTAGGATAAAATTTCCAAGCAGCCATCAAGGGAAGAAGCCAGCTCCAAGACCTGCTACTCTGTCATGCTGTCATGAATGGGTCCACAAAGAGGTCTTAGGCATTAGGACAAATGTTCTGGCTCCATTTTTCTCAGACTTGCATGATAATATTCTCAGAGCTTGTTTTTTCTCATTGTTTGATTATGAGACTGGACTTGTGGAGATAAACAATGAGGGGTAATAATTCAGAAATGGACTATTTTTGGCCTTACTTGGTTTCTAGGTGCTAATCTACAAATACGAACAAACAATTATTCATCAAACAGCCTAGTGCACTGAGTTTCTACCCTGGTTTTAAGTTTACTCAGAGATTTACACTTTCCATCCCAACTGGAAGCCAAGCAAATCAAAAGATTTTGGGTAACTAGAATGACTACAGCACAGACAAGGACTAGATAAAAGTGTTTGGGGGGAACTTCAGCTCGTATTAGTATAAAGGCTTTTAAATGTGGCATGTCCTACATACTCTTGTTTCTCCTTTTCAGGCTTTCACTCTATTGCCTTCTTTTTCAACTAACACGCAGAAGATATTAATAAGGGGTAAGTCCCAGATTACCCTGCTCCTAGATTGCACTAATGAAAAAATTGGCTCTCATTTCTTTAATGTCAGCAGG